TGATAAACATCGTTTTCAATGTACATCTGAACAGAAATGTCTCTCACTTCTGCTTGTGAATGATGGAAAGGCGCAATGTATTGGTAAAGAAGATGAGGCTTTGTTTAATGATATCGTAATTACGATTGATTATCTTCCTTTTTCTGCTTTCTGTAACAATCGGGTTGATATAGTACCTATAGAAAATGAAACTGATGAAACTCATTGTGAACAATGGCCATGTGTGAATCCATATACACGTTGTAATGGAGCATGGCAGTGTCCAAAAGGAATTGATGAAATTAATTGTTCATCGAGTTTTCAATGTCCTGCAAATCATCATCCTTGTTTATCTCCACAGAGCCGCAAAATGGATTGTTTACATATAAATCGCATTGAAGATGGAAATATTGATTGTCTTGGATCAACAGATGAACGATCTCATTGTAGATTACAACAACCAGAAAATGAATTGATGCGTTATCGCTGTTGGAATGATACAAAATGTACTACAGCTCCTCGTGCCTGTCAAGATTGCGATAAGTCCAACGAATTCGATCAATCATGTGATTGGTTTAATGACAAAATTATAGACATTATTAATTATGTAAATCATATAGACGATACTTATTTCTTAAAGAGACAGCCATTCTCTCATAAATCATCACGTGGTTTTCCTCCAGTCCAATTATCATTACCGATTCACAAGCAGATACAAAATGGTATGATAACAACTGAGAAAATATCTGCTATTAAGCATAACAATGATCCAAGATTATGGTTATGCAATAAAGGATTTATAGTTCTTGTTGGTAAAAATGAAACAGAACAATGTCTTTGTCCAGAGAGTTATTATGGTGATCTTTGTCAATATCAAAATCAGCGTGTTAGTCTCACTATTCGATTACGTCAAGAAAATTTAAGAAATATAAATGTAATTGGTATTATTATTAGACTTGTTGATCATACTGGTTTTGTTCATTCGTATGACCAAATTACATACAAATCCGTAATTAATTGTAATTCGAAATATAATATGCATCTTCTTTATCAAAGTCGTCCGAAAGACATGATGAAGAATTACACAATCTATATTGATGCATATGATAAAGTAAATCTTGCTTATCTTACAAGTTGGATTTTTCTAGTAAAATTTCTTTTCATGCCTGTTAATCGTATGAGTGCTCAATTGATAATTCCAGCACAGCAAGATTGTCATTTATTATGTAGTGATAAATATCTAAAATCATTAGCAAATGACAATATCCAATCTTGTCGATGCTCAAATTGGGTAAATTCACTTTCTACGATACAATACAAATGTGATTGTTCATCAGACTCAATCTGTGTTGGTCGTAAAGAAAATCGATCAATTTGTCTATGCCCTTTGAGCAAAACAGGACCTCGATGTTATCTTAGTTCAGTCTGTCAAATGAATAACACATGTATGAATAATGGTACTTGCATACCATATGATTCTCGACAATCTTTAACTAACTTTACATGTGTTTGTCCAGATGGATTCTCTGGCGAACTTTGTGAAAAGGCAGATATAAGAATAGATCTGTCGTTTTCTGACGTAGAAGCTCCACAATCTCTACTTATTCACTTTATCAACGTTGTGCCACGCAGTTTTACAAGCGGAAAAACAGAACCTATTCAAGTAACTATGTTCAAGAAAATTCTATTCAATGAAAAAACTATAACTTTACATATGTCATTACCCTTTCATCTTGTTTTCGTCGAATTTAAGAATATGTATTATCTTATTATTCTTCAACATGATCATACACCTTCAGTTATTTTTTCTACACAAATCTCTCAATCACAACGTTGTCGACACATAAAAGAAGTATTAGATGAAGTCAAAGTTGGTTATCCACATCTTCGTCGTGTAAAATACTACCACGATATATGTCAAAATCATTCTGATCTTACTTGTTTTCATGATAATTATACATTTATGTGTTTATGTACAGAACAAAAACAAGCGAGTTGTTTTCATTTTAATTTTACTATGACTTACGATTGTAAAGGTCAAAATGATTGTCAAAATGATGGACGATGTTTTCAAGACGATCCACATTGTCCAAAACAAAAAATGTGTGTTTGTCAAGAATGTTTTGTAGTGCGTTGACATTTATCACCATAAAAACATTCTTGACAAAC